TCACAGAAACTTTTCAAACTTTTCAAAGAATGTTCTGTGTTTTCGTCCGATTTGTTTCTGAACAAAAGTAAGGACACTCAAGCTTTCTTATTTGATAACGTGTTTAAAAGACACGGCAGACGATGGTCCTGACTTTGAACAGGCATGTGAAATGTGACACTTGAAACTGGTCCTTTGGTAAGATCTTAAATCTTCCACTTGTTAATGTATATCAGGGGAATACTGTCATTTCTGTTAAACATTAACAACACGGATACAGATGTTATACCTTTGTCCAGATGAGAAGCATGATTTCTATATCTGCTTTAATTCGGACGCACCACATTAACAGCGTTACCTGAATTTTTTACAGCACTGGGTCGATAACGCTGCTGTTAGACTGTTGTTTCCCGTGCGTATTATTAGCGCTTTGGGTCAATACCGCTGCTGGTAGACTGCTGTTTACCTGAGCGTATCATCAGCGCATTGGGTCGATGCCGCTGCTGGTAGACTGCTGTTTCCCCGAGCGTATAATCATCGCACTTGGTCGATACCGCTGCTGGTAGAATGATGTTTCTCGGGCGTATCATCTATTCAGCTCTGTAGTCAGTGCTTTGGTGCTGGTATGATAGCAAACCTTTTTTTAAATTCTCCATTGATAAAACTAGTGACTATAACGAAATTAATGTTCCAACTTTCAAGGTCAAAATTGACCTTAGATGGTTTTGGCTATTCTTGTAGGTCTCGTTTTGGTCTTATACATGTATGTTATAACGTATTCAAGTACTTATACACCATTGGTTTTTCCAATTATTCTGTTGAGTGTTCCTGAGTGTTCAAAACATCGATTCGAAGACACCCAATTTATCAATCACCTAAGTTTAGAAAGGTGTGATTATATTTGATAGAAACTATCAAATATCTTTCACAGACTCCAGATTCTTATGATAAAAAAAAAACAATACGATACATCTACTGACGGGGTATTTGACGTTGGAAGTAGGTGTTCATGTGATGAGGTTTAACTAGTTCTTTAGGATTAATCTTATCTCTATTTTCAATCTTGATCGGGGGCCTTACAAAAGGTACATACAATAACTTACAATAACAATCAGTAAACGCAAAACTATAAACATCGGTACATGTATAATAGATAACAAAAATGTAAGGGCAAACAAAACAATTATAAACCATACAGTATCAACGAATGCTCCCGGTAATAGAAAACTATAGCTCAGAGTACCTAACCTTCTGATATATATGAAACTTGGCCGTCGTTGGTTGTACTCTAGAGCAGATTTAATACAGCAACCCCAAGAAAAAACGATGTGTAGGTGTTCTATCTATTTCTATAATATTGTTTGGTCGGTGTTATCGTCACACAAATGATGATTAGCTACATGTACTGTTTTGTATATATGTTGCCACAAGTTTGACGTTATCGTTGTACATTCAATGCTTTTTTTGTAATTTCAATGGGGTGTAAACGCGTTTAACGAAACGTATCTTGAATGAAGAAGCGCTTCGATCGAATTTACGTTTAATTTAAGAGTTATACATTCAAATAAAGACAAAGATTGAAGATCTAACAAAATTTCAAAAAGTTGCATTGCAAGTGTGTAATAAATGAACGATTATCAAATTACCCGGTTTGTTGGTTTCCATTAGATGAACAGTTACCACTGCAGTCACAGCTGAAACACATATAACTTCAAGAATGGCCACCATAGAAACTCATATCACTTGAACACACGCGGCAATTTTTCCATTTTTGCTTGTCATTTTCAATTTTGTGTCAGCTTTTCTGTTAAGGTAAGATGTATCTGATGACAAATCATTTACGAGGTCTATGTTTTCAGACATTTCCATCTTTTCAACAATAAGAAACTTCCCTTAAATCCAACACCGTGAAACAAGTGTTCTACTATAATAAGTGCATTCATGTACATGTAATTATACAATGTAAACATGAAAATAACTATAAAGTATTGTAATTGTATCTTAAGTAATAACTTTAAGTATCAGATATATGCATACATCATATTTTTGTTCTTTAAGAAACAATATAAATATTCAAAACCATTTTAATAAAGAGGAAAAAATGATAATACTTTGTCTATATGCCATTTTTTTTTTATCTTTGTTGACATATTTATAAAAAAGAAGATGTGGTATGATTGCCAATGAGACAACTCTCCACAGGAGACCAACTGACACAGAAATTAACAGCTATAGGTCACCGTACGGCCTTCAACTATGACCAAAGCCAATGCCGCATAGTTTGTTTTTATAGTGATTAAGATTATAACACAATGTTGACTGCTGTACCCCTATTTTTGACATTTTTACCTATTATGTCTGTTTATTTTGTTCACACATTGTTGTCAATATAATGGAATTTTCAGCGACTGTCATACAAACGAAAGGTTTAGCTAGCTACAAAACCAGGTTTAATCCACCATTTTCTACATAAGAAAAAGCCTGTACCAAGTCAGGAATATGACAGTTGTTATCCATTCGTTTGATGTGTTCACCCTTTTGATTTTGTCATTTGATAAGGGACTTTCCAATAAGAATTATCCTTGAAGTTCAGTATTTTTGTTATTTTACTTTATTCCAGAGGTTACAAAATGAAAATAAGTATTTGCCTGAAAATGAAACGGTAATTTTATTTGAATAATTACAAACAAGTTCCATGATAAATAGATACATACAGATGGATAGAACAACTTTATTCAAAGCTTCGTGCACTTATAAGACATGCATTTGAAATTTCGGGGCCTTTTATAGCTGACTATGCGATATGGGCTTCGTTTATTGTTGAAGGCCGTACGGTGACCTATAGTTGTTAATTTCTGTGTCATTTGGTCTCTTGTAGAGAGTTGTCTAATTGGCAATCATACCACATCTTCTTATTTTTATATATATGAGTACAGTTTCTAACAAATTTAAATTAACATTAACATGTCTGGCAATCTCAAACCGTTGTCTGGGCCACATGAAGTAGATCTTCAGCACAAACAGTAAGTTATCTACCAATGAACACTGACCACCACGAAAAAACACAATCGTGTTAAAAGTGGCAATAAACACCAATCAATTAATCAAATCAATCAATAGTAATCCGAACTTGACATTTTTGAATGATGTTACTGTTTCAGCAAAAAACATTTAAGTCTCAAGTGCCACTGACCTGATGTGTCTCGTTTTAATTACTGCCATTGCGTTGATCTTTAAAGGAGGATATTGAATCGTCGTAAACAAATTTTAGAGCTTTTCCTTGTATTTTTTTCTAGTTTTTATGATTTTTTTCTCTGTAAAAAAATGTAAAACTAACGGATCAATTTTTACTCATCATTTATGTGTTCTTCGGCTGCATTACCCTTTTGTTCTTATGATGTTGTAATTGTGATTTTAATTTGATGCTATTACTATCAGCCTTTTTTACCTATTCAATCTATTGTGATATTAAGAAAGGGTAAACATAAATAAAAACTTCGCTTCTTCATGAATATCAACACCATACAAAACACCACTCCAAATATAAAATTACCTTTCTTTAAATCAGATATACAGAAGCTTATCCTCTTATTATTTTGCTTCATCGTGACCATAATTATGTTGGAGAGGGCAACGTATCGATCTGCAGCAAGATTTGTCAACAGAAATGCACACAGAAATCCTCAATTTTCCCCGTGTAAAGCCAAATACTGACAAACCTGTCTCAGATCATCTTCTAATAGTAATGTTAGGTTTTCAATGGATTGGACTTCTTTTCTATCTCTTTTTCCTGTGACAGTCCTAGAGAAAATAGAGATTTTGTTATCTTTCCTTGAAACATGAACAAAACCTAAAAGTGGTATTGAATATGTATATGTAGGGCAAACAGAACGTGGTTGTTTTAAACGAACACATCTAAAAAGTATCACAAGGTCTCAAGGAGTAAAATTATATTTAGTTCTCCGTAGGGGATAATAATACGTGAAGTCAAATGAAATATGTAATTCGTTTTTGCATACAATTTTTTTTAATTTTTTATATTCGGAAAGGTTTTTGAAATCTTAAATCATGTTCTGATGCACATTTCAAATATATAAAAAGGAAAGAGAGAAATAAAATAGATCATGATATAACAGCAAAATTGGATAACTGATGTTTATTTATTATGAAATACATAATTTTGATTAGTGTACATTTAAGTACACACTACTTTGCATTACAAATTGTATAACGTTATTGAAGTAAATCTATCAATGTAGTAATGGTCTAAATGAATTAAACAGACTAAGAATCAATTTATCACCGTATCATTCAATATAAGAAGATAACACTATGGTTTAACATTGATAACATGTAAATTGAAATTCGAATTTATTTATTCAAATTATATGCAAACACAAGCATTATATTTTAAACCTAAACTGTAGGTCTCAATAGTACTTGAAAGGGTAATTTATCAGCCCAAAAGTGGACTAAAAGTTACTTTGAATGTTTAATCTCCAATGCTATTTGTAATTTTGTATTACCATAACAAGTTCACTTGTATACTGTAAATATATATGTTTTTTAACTTGTTTTATTAGTTTAAACAAAATAATGTGAAAAGTGTCAGCCTGCAAACAATGGAAACAATTGTATAATTCTTTATTTTTGTTAGTTTTATCAACTAGATATGGATTATGGACACGAGTTTCCACGATAAAAGTGAGAGAGTCCGGCTGTACCGCAAGATTAAGTCTGGTCATCGTGCATTTATAGATTGAAAAAAGTAAAATTTTCAGAATTTTTGGCACCTTTTCTGTAATGATTATACTATTGCTCTTTTTGTTTTTATAAAAATAAAGAACGCTGTTGTGTGGTTAATGGAAAATAAGGAGCAGTTTGTAAATTTCCTTCCAGGGCCATTTATTTTATGTATCGGATTTATAATACATATTATTGGTTTTTCGACGACTCATTGGTCTGAGAGAACTAGCACCGGTGCCTACTGTGGATTATGGAAAGTTTGTACATATGACGAAGATAAATCAAAAGCATGCTTCACAATCACACAAAGAGGAAGTGCGCCAAGTAAGTACTTCCGGTAAATTATGAAATAATGGTAAAGCACAGATTACATTAGAAGTTTTAAAGCGGGTTTTGTTTTTATTGCTTTCTTAATACAAGTGTATTTTCCAGAAAAGAATAGAAACAATTTATTCTTTACTTAAAAAAAAATGAGGGGGAGGGAAATGAATGGTTAAAACACAGATTTGTAGAGTACAATACAAAAAATTTTAAGTCCTTGGTTAACATAACTGTGTCCTTACAGAAATGTTGGAATAATATTAAGTTCTGCGAATAGACTTTTGATAAAATAAACTGCATTATGCACAAACGGAATATAGCAAATTTTGTTTCACATACGGGGTCAAAATATCAAAATCCATAAACCTACGTGTTTTAAAGGGTTACAGCTATTTAAGATATTTTAGCATCATTGTTTGGAATAAATTTTTGTACATGTTAATGCTAACGACATAATGCTATGACATTCTACATCAACCTGTGTAACTATAGACTTTTGTGAAATCAGAATATTTCTTTACAATAAGTCTATAAGACAGACCATTCAAAAAATATGTGTAACAACGTTTGAATAGCACGGTTTAAAATTGATACCGTCGAGTTGATGTTGCAATGCAGTCATACAGGATTTTCTGAAGAGTTTACCACAATCATCGATATGTATCAGGAAATGAGAAATTTAAAGCAATACAATATTTAAAAAAACTTTCCAATGGAATGTCTAATATTATTCATTGTGTCACCAAGACAGTTTCTTAATCAATGAAAATATTTACCATAATGTAAAAGATAAAAGATAACAACTTTTAATATAAGAAAAACAATACAAAAATCATATTCGTATTGGTTGTATATTTAGCACGAACTAACGACATAACATTCAAGTCTTCTAAACGGTTTTATTTCTAAATCATCTGGATTTTTTTTCTTTTGTCAGTTATGGTATTCTTGTGTAGTTTCCTGGGTACAGCAAGTACCATTATAACTGGATTGTCATTTATCACTGCTGTCTTCACAATGTGTCAGAAAAAAAGTACAGCTTTGAAATGGTCTAAAAACTCGGCGGCAGCAGCTCTTCTTGCAGGTATAATATTGAAATACAAATGTATTTGAAAAGACTGAAATCGGCAAGAAAATATTACCTAGTCATTTCCATAAATTTTTTCTTTATTTGGAAAAGTATCTGAAATATCAGAGATGGCAAATATTTTGCATTAGATTTTATTAGTCGTTAAATGTTGAGTAAAAACGTTAAGAAATTACAATAATTCTATTGTGTTATAAAATGATTATATTTAATGCCATACACATACTAGTACTTTAAATTTTTAACGAGTTATCTTATGCGATTTTTATTTGAAAAGAATGGCTATTAATATTTGGTCATAACACGTTTCTCATATACACCCTTTATTATTTGTGCATTAGTTGAACCACTTTATATTTCAGTAGCCTTGTCAGTGAGCGTTGAATGTATTTATGGTGCAACTTATTGCAGTATTTAGTTGAACCATTTTATATTTCAGTAGCCTTGTCAGTCAGCGTTGAATGTATTTATGGTGCAACTTACTCCAGTATTACGTACGACAATATCCCTAACCTCAACAAAACATCAACGACAACTGAACTTTCCTGGTCGTTCTTTTTATATTGCTCATCTTCAGTGATTCTTTTGATTGGAAGTTTATACTTAATAATCGTTCCGTCTAACATACTGTCAACTAATAAAGTTTCAACAACCATGCCACAGATACCGGTATTACAGATCCATCCACCACCAAGTGACCGAGCGCCGACGCCATTATATTTGTTGTCTCAGCGTTCATTATCTCCTTTACCGTCACCATTTTCATCTAACGCTCATACTCAACATCCCCAGAGTTTGCCGCCTGTCTTTACACAGCTTCGTAGATAGATGTATATTTGACATATTTGTGTTTATCAGTGCTTGTTTATTATTAAACATGTTGAAACAATGGTGTCAAATATTTGTTATATTTCTATTTATATATCCCAAAACCGTATAATCATAATATGGTAACATATAGTATAGTGTGAACTGTGAGTAAATTTTCTATCAAAGATGAAAAATTATAGTAAATAAAATAATAAAAATAACATAAAAGCAATCGAAAATCTCTTACAATGAAGCTAAATGAGAAGACCACAATAAATTTAAATAAAACAACCTTAAGTGCCAATTAAATCTTTTTGGATGTTAAAGCTAGAAACGAACATTCGTAATATAGCTGCGGAACCGTAGCTCATAGATCATTATGATATTTTTTGACAATTTGCGGACCATAGGAGCTACGGTTCCGCAGCTGATCGCAGCTAGCATTCGAACTAAATATACAGCAACATGTTCGTACATCCTCTCAATACCTATATTTTTGGATTTTACATACTTTATTCAAATAATTTACATTAAACAACAAGACAACCCAAAAAAGGTAAAAAACAAGCCGAATGGTTATCAGGGCAAAAGGACCCAGGGCTCACAGGTACTAGGGTGGATGGACCCGGATGCCTCTCCAACCACCTATAATATCAAATGTTCGTCCCCCTAAGGCTAATCATAGATATAATAGCCATTATACCTATGCCCTAAGATAATGCACATTGAATTTTTAAAAGTAAAGTCATAGACAGTTTAAACCTACACTGTAAACCAGAAATTAAGAATCATGAGCCCCATAAAAATGACACACGCCTTTGCCTAAAATTACATTTTAAAAGAGCCCCCCCCCCCTCTCCCTTAAAAAAAATAACAAAACAAAACACACAACCATAACGATAACAGACAAAGAAAATTAGGAAAAAACGATAGATTTTGACATAATCAAAGTAGATGTTTATTAAAAACACAGTTTAATAACAATTCACGAAATAAATATTGATCCACGAAGTACGGTGTCGGAGATGTATAACAAATCAATTCCATTTAGTAGGCTGTAATTTACCAAACGTGGCCTGTGTTGGTAAAACGTTGATATGGATTCAACATATCGCATGACTTCCTTATCATCTAGATAAAAAATACCTAAAATGAAGAAAAGGATCCAACTTTTAATGACATTTTACGTTGACATTTTCGGCGCCGGAATTACCAACGTTGATCTATGTACTGTCACAACTCCGGTTGAGGTCGATTCCGGCTATTCTGCTTCAACATGTCACTAGCAGTTAACACTTATTAATGTCTTGAAATATATTTGCTATGTTTTAATATTTTTTAGAGGATATGTATTGTCGAGATACGAATTGCTACCGTGTACTTAAGAAACAAGGTTGCGGGAGGACCACGCCCCCGTAGTGGGGACACACAAAAAAAAGATGACTGTTCTCCATTTTTACTCGATAGAATTGCCTAATTTTTTCATAACATATACATTATGTACCAAAGATTATTATATGAAAGTTTAAAAAAAAATGAGGCGAAGATTTTTTAGAAATAGCTAATAATTATAGCAGACCAATAGACGTAATAGAAAAAAAGACAAAAATAGTGCCTTCTTCGATTTCGAAAAAAATCTATAATTTTACAATTTATTGACACATATTGTTATGTATAAAGGGGTTAAATATCTAAGGATTCACCTTTTTATGACATTTGAATGAATATTTACTTTAAAAACAGAAACTCTTCCAATTTCTAAATCTACCGCCCATGCAAAGAAAAATCTATAAAAAATTGAGACCCCTGCTTGAAAATGGGTACAAATTTTTGCCCTGGCTTGAACACCCCTGTTCTTTCGATGCCAAATACTAGCGAGAATAGGATGTAAAAATTTATAGAAAATCGAAGGATATGTATTTTTTGTACCCATTTTTAATATCGCCATTTAATTAAACAGTGCAGAAAATCAAAATCCGAAATTCTATGTTCAGATATAAAAAAATAAGATTTCCTGTTATTTTAATGTTCGAAAATGAAAATAATATGTAACCTCATATATTTTTCTCATATAGACAATCAACAATTTTTACCGTCGGTACTTTGCCGTAAACGAACGAAAAAAAATAACAAAAGCTCGCCATTTAACAGTTGACGTTGGCCGACGCAAAATAGTCCAATCTTGCACGTAGGACTATTGAGCGCCACCGAATCACATTTTGGCCAAACAGGCACACCCGGTTGTCCTACTGCTGGACACGGAACAAGTCTAAATGATGAACTGGTTTTTTCCAGATGTTGTTAATAATAATGGAGTTTTTGCTTGTCAAAGTAAAGGTTCACGAAGGATTAAAATTGGCCATATAATTTCAATCTTTTTTTTAAAATCAGGTATAAATACTACAAATTTCAGATAGAAATAGTTGTGATATTGCACTATGAATTCAAAACAACTTTTTTTTTTATCACACATCACATCATGAGTTATGAAGTTATGACCCCCTAAATTATGCATTATTTGTGTTGGTAAAAATTTCCATAATTTATAAAAGGTTTAAGCATTATTTACATTGGCCGCATCCCCTGATCCTGAATTGTTTTGGGTATAAACCTTAGCACCTTTAGCTTAAAAAACAGTTTTGATCTTAGGTTGCGGCCTAGGTTTTCCTACATCTTTTAGGAGTGTAAAAGTGCACAAAATCACCGTATTTTGACAATATCTCCAAAATGTGCTGACTTTGGATCCTATAGTGTATTTGCTTTATCTAACAATATAGATGGTAAAATGGATACATTTAAGAACAAAATTGTTGCCTTTTTGATTTTTATATTGAAATTACAGGCCAAATTTTGTCAAAAGTGAAGTAACTAGACGCCCAGTTTTTGTTATGCTGAGTTCATACATTTTCTTATATATCATTCATTGCTATAAACATTTCCGTTTTTGCGATATGAAACTATAATGAGGTTCACCGTGTTTGTTTTAGTGTTTAAATCATTTAAATATGAGGATGTATGAATGCAAATTAATAAAAACACGATTTTGCAGCGTGACGCCTTCACGACGTTACGATTTTTTTCATATGGCTTGTAAACGGATGTAAAAAAGCTCCATACATGTTTATCTTTTTTTTAATTTCCAATTGCAGTTCAACGAGTTCTAAATGCATATAAAATTTCATAGAAATCTGATATATCGCCAAATTCCGTGTTCTTTGTCTAAACTATAGCCCAGTATGACCATTTCCGTTTAAATGTTTTGTCATTGTTCCATGTCGTCAGTGGTGATGCAAAACGAGTTTCACATACATGCGTATCCACTTCGGAATCCATGATTTAATGATGATTTTTCTACATCTATTACAGAATAATTAAAACTAATTACAATTCAGCAGTCATACATATATATGAAGCAATATAATAAGAACACATCAACAGAGTCATATGTATATCTGTAGCAGTATATAAAGAACACATCAACAGAGTAATATGTATATCTGTAGCAGTATAACTAGAAAACACCAACATAATCATATGTATATATGTAGCATATAGTAAGAACACACCAACAGAGTCATATGTATATCTGTAGCAGTATAGTTAGAACACACCAACAGAGTAATACGTACATTCTCGTTTCTCGTTTTTATATAGATTAGACCGTTGGTTTTTCCGATTGAATGGTTTTACACTAGTATTTTTTTGGGGCCTTTTATAGCTTGCTGTTCGGTGTGAGCCAATGCTCCGTGTTGAAGGCCGTACCTTGACCTATAATGGTTTACTTTTATAAATTGTAACTTGGATGGAGAGTTGTCTCATTGGCACTCATACCACATCTTCCTATATCTATGTATATCTGAAGCACTATAGTAAGAACACACCAACAGGGTCATATGTATATCTGTAACAGTATAATAAAAACACATCAACAAAGTCGTATGTCTATCTGTAGCAGTATATCATAACACATCAACAGATCATGCGTATACATGTAGCAGTATAATAAAAACACGTCAACAAAGTAATTTGTATATCTGTAGCAGTATATCATAACACATCAACAGATCATGCGTATACATGTAGCAGTATAATAAAAACACGTCAACAAAGTAATTTGTATATCTGTAGCAGTATATCATAACACATCAACAGATCATACGTATACATGTAGCAGTATAATAAAAACACGTCAACAAAGTAATTTGTATAGCTGTAGCAGTATATCATAACACATCAACAGATCATGCGTATACATGTAGCAGTATAATAAAAACACGTCAACAAAGTAATTTGTATATCTGTAGCAGTATATCATAACACATCAACAGATCATGCGTATACATGTAGCAGTATAATAAAAACACGTCAACAAAGTAATTTGTATATCTGTAGCAGTATATCATAACACATCAACAGATCATTCGTATACATGTAGCAGTATAATAAAAACACGTCAACAAAGTAATTTGTATATCTGTAGCAGTATATCATAACACATCAACAGATCATACGTATACATGTAGCAGTATAATAAAAACACGTCAACAAAGTAATTTGTATATCTGTAGCAGTATATCATAACACATCAACAGATCATACGTATACATGTAACAGTATAATAAAAACACGTCAACAAAGTAATTTGTATATCTGTAGCAGTATATCATAACACATCAAAAGATTATATGTATACATGTAACAGTATAATAAGAACACACCAACAGAGTCATACATATACTGGTTGCAGTATACTTAAAA